CCCCCCCCCCCCCCCCCCCCCCCCCCCCCCCCCCCCGTCCCTCGTCACAACCCAGACTTCCGATCACCACTACAGCCGCAGCACAGAATGGCCACATCAGCACCGGTAACATTCCAACGCCGCTTCTCCTCGGTCGTAGCGGCCAACTCCAAAAACGCAAATAAGATCAACCAATCGAATGGCCCACTAGTCGATCACGAAACCCTGCGTTTCCTGCTGGAACAACCTCAAATCAAAGGCGGGAAAGTGATTAAGAAAGTTCAGCAGGATGGGGAAGAAAAAGAAATCACGGTTTGGTGTTTACCCAAAAGAAAAAATCGAAACAACCAATGCCATGTACTCAAAACACGGGTTAGTCTTCACCTTCTCCAACAAGGGTTAGTCTTCACCTTCTCAAATTCCGGCTTTATCAAATTTCCGACTGCAAACCTGTGTGTGTGTGTGTGTGGATTAGGACGTTCCAGGTTAGTCTTGCTCGGATAGTAAGTTATGAATCGCCTGTTAAGACTTAGTAGCCGTGTCGGTTTACAGTATACACTAGTGTTAGTGGCTATCAGTTGTATCATGCACTTTTGTCGAATGTGACCTGCTGTCACTGCATCGCTGGGAAAATACGTGCCATAGACGAAACTACCGTCTGTAGTACTTTGCGCTTTACCTGAATGCCGACTATTGCTAAGTGGAAGCCAGTGAGATATTCGAGTGGTGAAACAAGCTGCACTCTGAGCTCGGAGTTTCGCTTGGGCCCTGACAAAGACTGTAAGCAAAGTTGCAGTATTAAGTATGAACCTCACTTGGATTTATCGAACCGGGGCCTGAACATGTCCCAAGCTCAAATCTGCCTCAGTACTGGCCCAACTCCGTACTTAGTTTCACTTGGATAAGAGAAACTAGATGCTAGGTTCAAAAACGGGCATAGTGAACCGACACGAACTCTGCAAACGGGCATAGTGAACCGACACGAACTCTGCACCAGGGCTCTCCCATTGGGTAGGATAAATTCAACCGGGGTACCTGAGATCAGAGCTTCCGTACAGGGGGTGGAGTGCTCAGTTTCGAAATCACATGGCATAGAGGCTGATGTTGTATACAAAACCCTTGTGAATCTCAAGCTCATCCCAGTGGGGTCTGCTTGAATGAAGGTCAACGATTCGGGAGGGACCACACTGGTTATGCGTGAGCAGTTGTACAGATCACATTCCGCTCAGGATGTGTGCGGGCAAGTAGCTCGCCTGTGTTCGAGTAGGACTCACATGAGGGCAGTGTTCTATAGCGCCCCTTTGTCAAACTGACCAGATGTCACCCAGTAAGTGAATCTAGCAGACCCTGCTTGAGAGTGCCAATGGTTTTTTTGACGATAAGAGCTAATTCCATTTCATTCCATGGTATCCCACCTCTACACGGGCAAATACTCAGCGGCTCTTCTGAGTTGGGCTTGATCGTGTGTTAAGGGTCCTCGGTGAAAGCTTTGTTCTGTTCAATCCTCATTTCCTCCTAGTCATCTTCATCAGCAGTCCGAGTCAGCACTCAGCCGCCATTCAAGTCGGCCTTTTCCAAACTAGTCAGATGTCCTAGCGCAGATCATTCAAGTCGGCCTTTTCCAAACTACTGCTACGAAGACCTCCACTGATGCCTGTGAGAATGCCTGCCGAAACTGAGGCCGACCAGCTATGAATAACGCCGGTCCGGCCTCAGGTAGTGACCTGGGTGGGAACCTTGGCACCTAAACTTGGCGCCCAAACGGTACCGTGGCCTGGCGCCCAAAGGGAAACAGAGCCTAGCGGCTAAACTGGTGCCCAAACGGTACCGTGGCCTGGCGCTCGAACGAAACGGCTGTGCCCCCTGCTGCTGGCCTAAATGGGCCTCTAACCGGGGGCCTGGTGCTAACGAAACAGCGCACCAGGGCCTAGTGCTAATCTGCCCGCTAACCCCCTAGGCCTACGGACCGGGCCCTGCAAAGTGCCCGTGTGGAACAGAGAATGCCACACCGGGGTTATTATAGGATTTAGGGTTTTGAGAAAGTATGCCAAGGGCAGACTGAGCAGGATCTTCTTTGGGGTCATTTCCAACCCTGAGGTAAATCCTCGCAAGAGGGAGCAATAAATGCCTCAAGCTCACAGGAAGGGAAACAGGATACAGGACAGGGTTATTAAAGGGTTCAGGGTTTTAGCAAAGGATCCCAAGGGCAGACTGAGAAGGATAATTCAGGACTTGTATTTTAGGCATGATTTGTTCTTGGTAAATTACTAAATTGACAGAGGGTGGGATTCTCTGATAAATGAATGGGCTAGACTGGCAGTCAATCCTTCCAAAGGGAAGCAATCAATGTTGTGAGGATTCCCGGGGTCGTAACGTGCGGAAGCGTGTTAGAATTGGAATGGGAACCGGACTGACGCTCCCCATAATAGAAGGAGCCCTGTTTTATTGTGAAAAAAAAAGGGAGGGATCGACAACGGTTCATCTGTACCTCTGCAGCCTGATTTTTTTTTTTTTTTTTTCAACTCTGCGAAGAGCGATCCAGCTCATGCATTGTTGCTGCTGTACGAACAGCGCTAGTAATGATGCCCTTGCAAACTCAATAGTCCAAGGTCGGAGTTCAATACCTACTTTTTTCGCAAACCATAGATCTTGGGGATCAAAGCCATTGCTGGCCAGGGCTATCTCCATCTCCACACTGCAACCGCAAGATATGTCAAGCTCGGCAAGCATCATATCATCCTCAAACGCAGTCCCCCAGTCAGCAGCCAAAGTGTCTCTGCTCTTCAAATCTCTACTCATGTAGGAAGTACCTCCGTCGGATGGATCAGCCTTCATGCCTCCAGACAGGCCCAAATCGCCTCCATTGCCGTCTGGCTGTTCATCGCCTTGCTTGGTATTATTTGCTGACACAGCTGTAACAGCTGAACTTTTTCTCTTTGTTCTGTAATAGATGAGAGCATCCTCTTGAAAGTCATTGTCAGCATTGACGCTATCATTTTCCCTGCAATCAGCACTTGTTGCTAGGATATCACTATCTACAGATTCTGCCAAATGTGCAACAGCCCCATCAGAGGGATCAGATGTGGTAGTTCGCATCTCCGTCCGCTCAGGATAGGAATATTTATCACTCGCTCTCTTCAAGCGCTTCCGGGGGCTCTCCTCCACCTTGGCAACAACATTATGCTGGGGTTGTAAGTTCCCAATATCTCTCAGTGCTTCACTAATAACGTCTGTGCTGGAGGAAACTGGACCTTCCACCTCACCTGGTCTGTCATCCTCTTCCTTATCTGCAGACCACCCTGCTGACCCACTTCTTGTTGGTTCGAAACCTCCAAGATCAGATTCACAGAAACTCCCATCATAGCCACTGCCAGCTTTCGTCTCCTCGGTCTGTTCATGTACAAATGTTACCGTACCACCAGACACAGCCCATTTAAGGGGAGGATCTATGACATCTGAAGAGACATCTTTCCAGTGCATAGCATGCGGCATTCGCGAGCGGTAAAGAAGATCGTAAGTGTCACAAGCGGTCTCCTGCTTTTGAAGAAAACCACAGCCAAACCACATGCAAACAACCTCTCATCATACTCATAAATATGCAGTGTCCAACAGACATCACATCTTGCAAAGGATGTTCACAAACCCGAAATCCTGGAGATTCCAGCATCCTGCCAATCTATTTGCTGCTAATGTAAACTACTTTGTTTGTTTGTTTGTTTGTTTGTTTGTTTGTTTGTCGGTCGGTCGGCCGGTTGGTCGGCCTCTCTCTCTCTCTCTCTCTCTCTCTCTCTCTCTCTCTCTGTGTGTGTGTGTGTGTGTGTGTGTGTGTGTGTGTGTGTGTGTGTGTGTGTGTGTGTGTGTGTGAACCATGAACAGGTCCCATTTCTTCTGGGGGGCGCAGTCCCAATTCCCCTTGGCAGGGAGGGTGTTCCACTGTTTTGAGGAGCACGGCAGCTGGGCGGGTCTGTATGAGTTCAAGTCCTTCACTGTGTCAAGACCGTGAGGGCTAGGCTCCATGTATGCTATGTTTAGGCATAGAAGGCATGTATCTGGCCACAAAAAAGGTCCTGAGTTCCAGTGGTGCAGTCCGGCTGTTCAGTATCAGGGATCTGTAGGTAAAACCAAAATTCGCCGCCGAAGAGAAAGGGATTTTATTTATTTATTTATTTTTGGGAAGGAGGGTATCTAGCGTAAAACCTGGGAAAGTGGGGCCCAGGTATAAGGAATGAGATGAAAAAGGGGGGAATAATGGTTGGACAGGGAAAGCAGAGTAGAGCAGCCAGGAGAACCTCTACAAAAGAAAATAGAAAGCACCCAGCCAGGTTTTCCAAATAAGAGGCTTCGGTCCTTAGGGTACAAGTGATTTACTGGGGGGAAAGGGATAAAAACAGAATAGAGCAGGCATGAGAAACTCTACAAAGGAAAGTAGAAAGGATGCAGCCAGGATTTCAGAATGAGAGGCTTCGGGCCTTGGGGTACACGCGGTTTACTGGGGGGAAAGGAATATTAAGATGATCATAATCATATCTTGTCCGAATCAGTCCTTCGCCACATCCGTTAAAATTGGAGCGATACAGAGAAGATTAGCATGGGCCCTGCGCAATGATGTCCCGCATAAATTGAGAAATGGAAAAAATAAATAAAAAAATATATTGTCCGAGTGAGGAAATTAATCAGCTAGAATTTAACCCTGTAACTCTCTTGTATTCTATTCAGCAAGAGTTAAAATAGCGATACACATTTCTAAGCATTCCCTTCTCTTAGTTCGGGTTACAATTACACCTCTTATTGTACTGAGTCTCTTGACTCATTTCATCAGATTGTGTTTCGCAGAGGACTATCCACTAGTATCCAGAGATCCCAGCACACACACACACACACACACACACACACACACACACACACACACACACACACACACACACAGATGAGTGAGCGATGGAGCAGTCTTGGTGACTTGCCGCCGTAACAGTGCCGTTATTGTCATAGGTTTGAACTAGAGTTGCCGGTGTGAGTGAAGTCGAGCACGTTTTTCAAGGGCATCAATAACCTTGGGCAAGATAGTCAGTCCTTAATACTCCTTAATACTCCTTATCCATCAGTCCAAAACATCATGGGAGATCTGTCAATGCTTAACATCCTGACCATAGTTGCGGCGCACCTCCGCGCGCGGATTTGCGCACGAATTGCGCACCGCACAGAGCACCGGAGCGCAGTGCACTGGAAAAATTAGGTCCAAGAAAAAAAAAAAAGGGGTTTTGTAATTTCCTAGGGCCCCCAACTCGGCAAAAATGTTAAACTCACCGCGCGAGCTCAGAAACTGGCCGCGCCCCCGGCCCAAATTTTTCTTTGGGTAAGGGCTGCCGAATTTCGATTTCCACAGGCCCTTCCCCCAAAAGTTTCACAATGGCGAAGCATAAAATAGCGCTCATTCCTCCCTTCTGCAAATCCCACGCAGTGGTGGGGTAAGTTCGCAAGAAGGGGTAGTCGCCTAATAACGACCTGCCCCGCGAAGCTTCACAGATGTCACAAGTTGGGATTTCCATGGCCAGCCCGCCACCAATATATTGTCACATCACTACAAACTAAAAGAGCGCACTTTGCGGAACAAAGAATAAAAGCAAAAAACGGGCACAGTGATAACATGCAAAAATAAAAACAAAAAGAAAAAACAAGGGCAGATTGAAACCATTAAATTTCTCATTCTTCTTTGAACTCCACCTCCACTGTGCCTCTCACGTGCAAGGCTCGCCACGTTGATGAAGTTGAGCGCGAGCTGCCCCCATCCCCGTATGCCATAACAGCCCACTTGCACGCTGTGAGAGAGGCAGAGTGAAGGGGAAGGTGTTAAACACAGGGAAAAGCTCAAGAATGAGGCTGTCCTTGACGACAGAAAGGACACACATTGTAAGGATGGGGTGGATGAGCGCATGGAAGACCTAACTGAGCATTCTCAAAACAACAACTGCCACGACGGCTGGCATGAAGCATGCCAACCATACATTCCTGACAAATAGCATGTCTATATATGCTGAAGATTGGCGTTCAGGTCTGCATGTCGGCTCTCTCGTTTTTTTGTTTTTGTTTTCTTACGAATACGTCCAGTGGGGGCTGTTCTACTACTCACCAAATGCACAAAAGACATAGCATATGGCGGTGTACGATTCCATGTTTTACCAGAAGATGCATTCTACTAATATTATATGCATTTGGTGAGTGGTGGAGGGAGGCCCTGAGAATCACGTGGAGACACGAACAGGGTCTAGCTGAATTGGTGAACCATAACTGTCGAGCTACAGCCCTGAACTCGAATCCACAGCATATATTGGTGGTCTGCCCCAATCTCTTCCAAGCATGACGAGGCCATCCTTCTCATTGAAGCAGTGGCCCTCAATGGCTCCACATGCATTGTAGGAGGCATTTGAGGTACCTGCAGGGGCCCTCAAATTAATGTGAAGGGGACCCTTTGTTGTCTCTCTCTCTCTCTTGGGGTCTGTCTTTCTTCCTTTTTTTTTTTTTTTCTTTTTTTTTTTTGCGCACAGGGTGCACCTCCCTCAGCGCGCGCATCGCGCACAGCGGACCATACTGTGCAGTGCGCGTGCTGTCATTCCAGCGCACAGCGCAGTGCGCACCACCCCGCACCGCACTGCACACTGGTGGGCCGCAACTATGATCCTGACGAGTCGGTGAAACACTCTGTCACAGTAACTCCTTTTTTGTGGAGTTGTGTTTAGGTAATACAAAACACCATACACGTCTGAGAATACTCACTGTTTGAAGTTGGAATAGCTCCTTCAGTTCCTCGCGCGTGAAATGTTGGCCCTTTTTGGATCCACGATCACCATCTTTTGCAGCGACTGCCGCAGCAACTTCACCCTTCACAATTTGTCGCTGATAAATTTTTTCCTCAATGCTGCCACCAGAAACCAGAGATGAGAAAAGACCAGCAAAAAATTAAAGAAAGGATAGTGATTGCCTAGCCAAACCCAAAACCGTGGCATTCGGCGCGGCGAATATTTCTCAGTCAAAATGATTTTATTTTAATTATTTATTTATTCTGATATTTTTCCTTAAAGATCATGACCTAATATACGGACCCTCAGAATTTCAGACATTGTTATGAATTCTTTTGAGCACAAAAAATCGGCAAAGTTGCCGCTTGAAAATGGCGGGATTGGACCCGCTGGTGACAAACGGTTGGCGCCCCTCCGTACAACCCGGCCCTAACTCACAGGGACTGAGGTTTTCGGCGGCGGGGGGACTGGTGGTTAAGGTTTTCCCTAGACTTCAGTTGCAGTGACAATGATGCCACTGATGATGATTAACATTTTCCCACTCTTCAATGCCGGCAATGATATTAATGACGATAATGAGTGATGATGGTAATCATGATCAAGATGAAGAGAAAGATTACCAGGGAGGTAAGGCGTTGGGGAAAGGTTGCAGGCACCTGTGGATGAGAGACCACAGGTACTGTCGGTGCGTCAACACCTACCAGTAGGAGGGCCACTGACCCCCAACAGTGCAACTCTGGATGCTGCTGATCCTCGTCCTTGTTCCCATCATTTTCCTCCAACGCACCACAGTATCATAATCGGTGATCATTCCTGATGACTGTGGCAGTGTGCTAGGGAAGGTTTCTGCTGCTTCAGTGTGGTATTCACTGCAGTTGCTGTTCATCTCTTTGCTTGCTATGGTGCTTTTGTCCATTCCCTGCTCTAACATTGCCGGCTTCAACTGGTGCTTCTGTGTCACTCTCGCTGCCTGAGGATGTGTTTGGTAAGTTACTTGTTGACGATGAAGTGATTGGCGGATTGACTCACAACCGGGAGGAGCATGGCAATTGGAGATGGGATGGGATGGGATGGGATGGGATGGGATGGGATGGGATGGAATGGGATGGGATGGGATCGTGCTGGATTGGATTGCATTAGATGGATCTATTGGATTAGATTGGATAGGGTGGATGGACGGAAGGATGGGTTGGATTGGATGGATGATGGATGCATTGGATTGGATTGGATTGGATGGATGGATGGATCGAGGAGACTGGATGAATGGATTGGATTGATTGATTAATTGGCTGTCTTCCTCGATGGATTGGATCGATTAATTAATTATTATCTTCCCCATGCTCCTTGTCACAGAAAATCAGTCAATCAGCATGAGAAAGAGACCAATTAATCAAAATTAGTCCAATCCATTTATCCAGTCAAATCCAATCCATCCAAACATAGACAATTTATCCATCAAATTCTATCGAATCCAACCATCAAATCCAATTGGAATCCAGTCATCCATCCATCCAATCCAATCCCAATTGAATCCAATTCAGTCCAGTTCCAATTCAATCCAATCAAAGTCCCTTCCAATCACTTTTGATCCAATCTAGTGTCCAAACCAACCCAATCCAATCCAATCCGAACCAGTCCACTCCACTCCAGTCCACTCAATCCAATCCAATTCAATCCAATCCCATCCCTCAGTCGATCATACAATTCAATCCTATTTAATCCGATCGAACCTAATCCAACCCAGTCCAAACCAATCCAATCCAATGCAAGAATTGAACCATGAAACCAGCAATCAATCTGATTACAGCATCCAATCTAGTCCATCTGTCCATTTAATCCACCCTGAAACCACCACTGGCCCCAAACCTATTTTGTCAGACCTGTTTTAATTAGCCCTGGAGCTGCCGAACCTTGGGCATCAGCGACAACACCCCACCATTCACTGCAGAACAGGAGAGGTTTGTGGCAACAGTTTTTTCCTTTGACTGACCTAGGCCTCCTGTGAGGTGCTAGTTGTCTGCGCTGTGCTCCCCTGGTATATTGACACGAGCCGCGGAGGCCATTGGGAACAATCATTATTTAAGAAAATCGCATCTTTACCCAGGCCTTCTCCACACTGCTATCGGGCTTCCCCATGCCCACCTTCCATATTGGCACAACCAGGAGAGGCCGCCAAGAAAACAAAACCACATCTTCTCAACATCCCCGTTCCCCCCAAAAAACTCTCACGCAAAAGCAGCACACAGACTCCTTTCCCCCTGGACATGACACAACAAGCAAACCTGCAATCCACTATCGCGGCTGCTTCCCCCTCCTACTGGCCCCATCTCTGCCCCAAACTCCCCAACCAGCACCAGGCTGACCACTCAGCTTCAGGCTGTTTAGACCTTTGTGTACACTGGCCCAGTACATTTCGACTCGGAAACTACTAGAAGTCCCTGCTATCACTCTGCCTGGAATGCCATGAATGTCCGGCCTGTCGTGCCCAGCCAAGATGACTCACAGCTTAGCAGCCAAGTTACATACAAACGGATGAATTAGGAAAGGTGTAATCACGGATACGAATGCTTAGGGAACTCGCTAGACTCATGACAATAATAGGGAAAAACGGAAAGCAAGAGGAGACTGAGGAGTCCAGTATTGAGGACCTTTACCTTCCTGTTGATAGAAATCTGTAAATAACGACATCTTTCTGCTGACCATCACGCCAGACTCTAGCCATGGCCTGGAGAGAAAAAGTTGGCATCAAAACATAGTCAATCCGCAACGTTGTTGTCAATTTGTCCACTCTAACATGAAACTCCAGCTGTTCCATTCTTTGTCTCAAAGGAAATATTTCAAATTCAACCGACTGCGCCAGGTGCCGAGCTGGATACTGTTTTGAAGTTCCGAATGCCTGGACTCAGACAACCCATATGGTGACCCAGCAGCCCTTAATCATAGACCTTATGATGCATCCCTATCAACAGATTGGCAATGCGCAGATCCAAGGAATCGCGAACATGAAGAAAGGCGAAAGTACAATGCAGCGGAAGCCTGAAAATCAACCAATTTGCCTCATGTGACTCAGAAACAGACAATTCACTCACTAATCAGATCTCCAGGAGAGGAGACATACATAGACAAAATCCATCCTGGTGTATCATGCACATGGGGGGATAGCCATAGATGGTGGGGAGAGAGAAGGGAGACAAATGTGAGAGAAGATAAGTAGAGATGAGCAAAATAGTCGCACTGATAATAGTCTCCCCAACTCTCAATAGTGCCCAAGTACAATGCCGAGTCTGAACCTGTAGGAAGTCTCCCTGAACAGTCGCCAAGTCTCTGTATCTCTCTTGGGAACCAAGGACGAGAAAGGCAGATATGGAGGGGAAGAAGAATCTCTCTCTCTCTCTCTCTCTCTCTCTCTCTCTCTCTCTCTCTCTCTCTCTCTCTCTCTCTCTCACACACACACACACACACGCACACACACACACACAAACACACACACACACATACACAGACACACACAATGGCGTGTGTGGTCGGTGCTTTTTGTTAGCGGAGCCTTTTGTGTTATGCTATTGGGATTGTTTAATTAAGTTTGTGGTTTTGTGGGCTGACACGGCGGGCTCTCCAAGTTTTTTTGGACCTTTGGCATGTGGGGTTGGTGCAGGTACGGGCATGTGCCCATTCTTTTTTCTTTTTCTTTTTCTTTTCTTTTTTTTTTTTTTTCTTTTTTTTTTTCAACAGAACCTCACGGTTCTGGCTCCTACCATTCTGGGGAGCGACAGTCCGGTTCCTATTCCCCCGGCAAGTCAATATGGAATACATCAATGACTCACACACGCTCCTCCCCATTATGGCTGAGAGGCCCGAGTAGGCAGCATTGATTACTTCCCTGAGGAAGGATGTACCACCTCTCACCCCTGCCTAATCTAGCCTGCACTAACTCTGCCTGCCAATCTATCTGATCCCAGATCTGCTCCTCTCAGCTATGAAGCTGTCAGGTATCTATGATTATACAAGAGTATTCTGGAACACTTATATGCCTTTTGAAGCCTCTAAAATTCTATAACAGCTTTTGCCTTGTTTCTGTCTAAGCCATAAACCCTAAGCCCTCGCTCTTAAGTATATCCAAACCCTAAACCCTAAACCCTTAACTATAACTTCTATTTTGCTTAAACATCAATCCACTGACCTCCACTTTCTCTCCCATTTCCTTTTTTTTAATTTGGCCTGAGCTTATTTTTCCCTATCAAACCTTTTTTTTCCCTATCAAACCTTTTAATCCCAGATCTGCTCCTCTCGGCTATGAAACTGTCGCGTAAGTGTGTTATGCGGGAGGCATCTGGGATGCTTGTAGTGTTCTCTGAATTCTATCTCCTCAAAAGCCTATTTACCTTATTTCCTTATAAACCCTAAACCCTATACCCAAAAAACCTTCACCCCTATCATTACAATCGTTTGTAAGACTATCTTGAAATCACTCTTTTCGTATAGTATATCGAAGTCCGGTTCCTTTTTTTTCCGTTAATCTTAAGCCCTCTTCTCAGCTACAGATCCCTCTTCCCCATGTGCTTCCCCTCGCCCTAGACCTTCCCGGTATTCTGCGATCAGTGCCCTCTCCCTCTCAATCTGAAGATCAAATGCCCCCCTTGGATTTCCGCTACAGCTCCTTCCCCTAGTACCCTCTGTTTGAAGCGTTTCATGATTTCCTCCTCTTGTCCCGGCTGCTGTCGTACCTGATTCCTTACTACGTTCCACTGGGCTTTAAGGTGAGTTTCCATTAAGTTTAGGAAGATTTCCTTAGCTTCTTGTTTATGCATTGTTGTTCCTTCTATCGTGATTTGGCATCAACGCTGCCAAATAGTCCACAGGGTATATAGTCTTACGATCTGGAACATATGCTTCTGAAAGGGCTGCCATTGGTTGGGAACTCTCGAACCCAACATTAAGGAAATCGTTGAGTCTGGGAACGCTATCTCTGTAACTTGCCTCCATGTGTCCTTAGCCACCTCCCAAATCCCTTGCGCCTCCTCACATTCAATCAAGCAATGTGTCATTGTTTCCAGAATTCTTCCCTGGCATACCCTGCACCACTCCTGTTCCTCCGTCCTCTACCCTCTGCTTCTCCGTTGGTTAAGCTAGACATTTACTGGTAGCGCAACATGGGCTATGAGCCATTGCATGCTCCTGACCGGGCCCAGCCATATGGTCCCTAGGCTCGTCCAGGGGATGGATGGCAATTGTCCTCGTGTAACCCCTTCCCTCTTTTCCCATCTCTTTAGCAAGATGGGAGTAATAGAGGAGGAGTGTCTCCTCAATCTATACCCTATTTTTGTAGAGTAGTGTAGAATGTTTACTCTCCTTGATATTCCCCTTTGACCACTTCTGATATTCCATGCTTATTCCGCCGGATCCACTTCTAATTCTGATATTGGTATTGTCGGGTTATATAATGTGAATGACTCTGTCTCCACAACTCTCACTTTTCGCAGATACATTTTGAGGATATAGATCGGCGCTTCGCTGTACTATCCAATTGGGACGTGGTTATGCCAGTCTGAAGAATTTCGTATTTGTCTGCAATTAACCAGTCTAGTCTTGAAGGCTCTAGGCCCCAAATTCTGAATACCTCCTTGGGCTCCTCCTCATCTATCCATGTGGCCCAGTCGCCCAACCCCCATTTCGTTCCTTCCTGCAGTAGGGTCTTCCAGTTGTTTGGTATGGCGTCCAAGGCTATTTGTAGATTCTCCCGAACTCTGTGACAACCCTTCAGGTGCGTCCTTAGTTCCATAGCTGTTTTCCACCTCTTCTCACACTCATCCCAGAGGTGTTTAACCTGCCATATGCCATGCTCTAACCATTTGCCCCATTTCGTGTCTTTTACTGTTAAAGTTAGTGGTTTGCCCTGACCGTCCTTTATGCTTGCATTGCAGAATAGAGGTTGTTTTAGAACTTCTTCCCTTGTGGTTGGTTCCCTTACTCTTGACGGAAAGATGTCCTTCCAAAGTTTCAGGAGTTTTACCCAGTAGTCAGCATTTCGTACTACTATTTGTTCCTCATTTGTTCCTTCCCTAGTTCCCACCTTTGCCCAATTACCGCTCATAACCCAGAACTGACCTGACATGTTTCCTTGTGTTTTGTATTTCGCCAGTTGTCGAATCCTTTCCAATACCATCGGTGCCCAAGATAGCCTCGGTTGGGTGATTAGTTTGGTCACCCATTTAGTCTGTAGTGCCTTAAGTTGGATATCCGGGTCTATTACCCCCAACCCCCCCTGTTGTTTGGGCTTAGTTACATACTTCCATGCCACTTTAGAGATAAAACGCTCATTGTTCACTTTAGCCGTCCATAGATACGCTGCCGCTCTTCTTCTTAATAGTTGTGCCGAAGCTTTTGGTGGTGACCAGATGGACCTTGCATACCATAGCATCGAGAAAATTGAGGCATTAAGTATGAGCGCCCTTCCGTGTACCGACGTATAAACTGTTGACCAAGCCCCTAGTTTTACTAACATTTTGGACATCAGATCTGCAGCCATGGAGTGGTGCATGCCTCCTTCTGCTATTTTAATTCCCAAGTACCTAATAGGGGTTTGTGGTGTCGACCAGTGAAATCCTTCCGGATTGTCTGTGGGGAGCGACTGCTGTTGTTCCTGCTCTGTTAACCACCAACCCAATGTTTTCTGCCAATTAACCTTCATTTCCGAAGCGAGTTGGAAAGCCTCCATTGCCCTTGTGAGCACCTGAAAGGAGGAGTCTGTCGCTCTTATAAGCACGGTTAAATCGTCAGCGAAGAGGATTGTGGTGGGGAATTCCACCACATGTCCCTGTTGATCCGGGGGTGAAATCAGTCTCTGTATTGATGGATCCTTACGTAAGGAGGAGGCTACCGCTTCCATTATGAACAGAAAAATGGGAGCCGCCACGGGATCACCCTGTCGAACCGATCTTGACATCGCTTAAGTCGGGGTTAGATGCCCATTTATTTGTACCTGTCCCTGTGCATCATTGTATAGAACTCTTATCCATTTCCTGAAGTTCGGTCCTACCCCCATCTTCTCCATACATTGTTGTAGAAAAGGCCAGCTTACCTGATCGTATGCTTTTTCGAAATCGAAGAAGAGTATTGCTGCGTTCATTCTTTTGTCTCTGATATAGCGTACTGTTTCTGTTAATGTCATAACGTTGTCAAGGATAAACCTTCCCGGAATGAATCCTGTTTGATCTATATGAAAGCAACTAGCGGTAATGGTCGATATGCGATTTGCTAACGCTTTAGCTACTATTTTGTGTGTCAATGTTAACAGGGTTATTGGTCTATAATTTCTTATATCCTCCGGGTTTCCTTTTCTGTAGAGTAAAGTTACTATTCCCGTTGTCGGGTCATGACCTATCCCCTCCTGCTGCCATGCTTGCTCCAAGAATGTTAAGTATTCCTCTCCCAAAATAGGCCAGTACTCAAGCCAAAATTCCCTGGTTAATCCATCCTTCCCTGGGGTTTTATTTGGGGTCATTGCCCTAACCGCTTCCCATAACTCCTCTAGGGTCAGCGGGGCGTCTAATTTGGCTGCCTGAGAGCTTGAGATTGTTGCTTGCAAATGATTAAGGAACTTTGCTCATGCGTTAGAAACCTATTGCTTTGGTAACTCGTCCTCTCTTGACCTATATAGGTTGCTGTAAAAGTCGAAGGCCACCCTGAGCATTCCTTCCTTGTCTGAGATTACTCCTTGTGGTCCCTGGAGGTGTGCAATGAGGTTGTTTCTTCCTCTAGATTTGATTTTTTGGAAGAAGAATTTGGTCATTCTTTCGCCTTCCTCCCATTCTCTGACTCTGGCCCTCATTTGCATCCCTCTTGCCTTCCATCTCTGCCAGTCCGCCATTTCCTCCCTTGCTTTTTCCAGCGCTGTTTCATACATTTCATATCCCGGGGAATTGGTTATGTTAAGCTCTGCTAGTCTAATTACTTGTCGTAGTTCTAATTCCCTTTCCTTTCTCTTAGCCGCCAATCTCCGAGCCACCCCCGCTGAAGCTTTGGACAGTGTTGTAAGTAGCTGGGGGAAAGACTGTGTATCTGCATTGTGATCCTGGCATACCTGAAGCACCGCCCGTCTCATCTCTTGTGTTCTTAATAATGAGTTGTTTATCTTATAAAACCCTTTGCCCCTTTTGACCTGTTTGTCTGTTACCAAATGCAGGTGAATGGGTTTATGGTCTAGGCCCGTTCCGTACGACAAATCGCCTATACTTATTGACTGTATCATTCCCGCTACTCCTGATGAGATTAGGAAGTAATCGATCCTCGAGGCTGATATATGCTGGCTACGATTCCTTTTTAGGTATGTAAACCTTTTTTCATCCGGATACTGCAGTCTGTATGGGTCTATGAGATCCGTTGAGGTCATTAACCTATGTACCGGTAGGGCCTCCTCCGCCAGGCCCTCATCCCAACTCCTGCCCCCTGCCGATAATCTATCTAGCTTGGGGTCCAGCGCAGCATTCCAGTCCCCTACTACTATCAGATGCCTTTCTGCCTCCAACAGCCCTCGGAGGCGGTCTATGAACTCTCCCCGTTGCTGTAAAGAATTGGGGCAGTATACTGAGATCAGTGTATAAGGCTCTTCGTGTAGATCAAAATTCACTTTTACCCATCTCCCTTCTGTCTCATCCACCTCTACATTTGTGATGTGTATATTTTGTATCGCTGCTGACTTTTTATTTTGTATTATGACTACCCCTGTAGAGTGTTGGCTAAGTGTTGGGGCCCACCAAGCCTCCTTTACCCTTTGAAGCCTCTGCAAGACCTTGTTCTTTATCTTCTGATGCTCTGTTGTTTCTTTGAGGTGTGTTTCCTGTAAACAAATGGAGTCCGGGGGCGAGGCATCAAACCAGCCAGTGTAGTTCAATACATTCTGCCATTTGTCTTGATTCTCCAATATCCCTACCATTTCATTTATGTTCCATGAGGTCATCCTAAACTCTGGCTGATTCTGATTCTCTTGGTCCATCCTGGTCCTCTTCCTTACCCTGCCCTCCCCTTCTTCCTCCATGAGTTCGTTTCCATTACCTCATGTCTCCCCCCTAGTGCCCCCTTTTTTTATGCTCCCTGTAAGGTTTCTTCCACTACCGTTGACACCAAAGCAATTCTCTTTTCCAGAAATTCTGGCTTCCACGCGAATGCGTCTACCTTAACGGCGACCGCAGCAGATCGTGCTAACCATTCCGCTAAGATCTCTCCCCCCAACAGTCCATATGGTATGGTTTCCACGACCTGCCATGGCATCCAAATCAGACCCTCCCTTAGTTCTGAGTCCGCTTGCCAGTGGATAAGTAGGGGCCTGAAATCTGCAGTCTCCTCATCCTCTCCTCCCTCCCCTATTTCCATAGACTCTTCTCTCCTATCTCCCAGTATATATGCTCGTGTTGGCACTCCCTCCCCAATCAGGTTCTACAGATCCTTGCATTTGCAGGCGCTGACAGGAGTTGTGATCAACTGAAGAGTCTAATGAATTGCCACCTCCCAATCTGAATACTTGTCGTTCCACCTGCAAGGCAAAATAACCCTCCTTTTCCTCCCATTCTTAGCTTCCAACCTCGCTGCTGCCTCTATTTCTCGCAACTGGTCATTGGCGATTTTCTGCAAGCTCACCCTGTCCTCCTCCAGTTCCCTGTTCTCATCTTTGAGGGTATTGACTTGGGCCATCAGTATGGCCGCTTGCTTTCTCAGGTCCTGTTTTGCCTCTTCCTCATCCTCCCTCCTCTGCTGTTCCGCTTCCTCCATCAGCCTGTCCTGAGATCCTTCCACATTGCCTGCCGTGCTGCCCTGTTCCTCCGCCCCCTGTGCCTTTCTTTTCTTGCTTCCTCTCCTCCCCTCATTGCTATGATATGTTTTTGGCCACTGGAAGATTTTTGTGTATTCCTCCTGCTGGATATAGATTTCGTTTTTGATTGGGCGTGCTTTACGGGCATATTGTGCAGCGTAAAACTCGTTGAATTCCCCTTCCTTCCTTAGCAGTTGTTGCATACCGTATAGGTGCAGACCAGAACAAGAACCGACCTTTCAATACAAAGTATAAGATAGCACAGCGGAAGACTTAGATACCAATGATCCGAACAATCAATATTGCAATGCAGCCCCAAACATACATCATCATCATCATTCCATGGTGTGAAGGGGTCTGGCGCTTCACACAGGAAGACTGCGCCAGCCCCAACCATACACAGACGAAGGAGATGGGGGTTAGACGAAGAAGAGGGGAAGATGGGAATGTCGTCAACACCAAGTGTTCAGCACAGGCCCAGATAGTCCCTCGTCGAAATGTCTGAATCCCAAAGGTCGAGTCTGGATCCAATGCCGTCAAGTCTCAAGTCACAACTCTCTCTCTCTCTGTAGTAGTCCGTTGATACTGAGAAGTCAGGTGGTGAGAGGGGAAAAAGAGATGGTGGACATAGAGGAGGAAGAGGAAGAACTCTCTCTCTCTCTCTCTCGCGCCTTGATGCAGGTACCTCGAAGATGGAGCTGGAGCTATGGCGCCACAGGTAATTACCGCTGGCCTCCGCCAGCCATCTCCCTCCACTGCAACTACTACCACCTACTAGCGCCCAGCGCTGAAGACTACAGCTATGGCTATGGGCGCCCA